GTGGGACCTTGACTTGACTCTGCATCCTTCCTTCCGACCCTTGGCTTTCATTGTTCTAGATTTGCGACAAGTCCTTCAAGTCTAACTGCCTGCGGGGTCACATTCAGTTCCACACGGGCCAACGCGACTACCAGTGCCCACACTGTAACCGCACTTTCAGTCAACGGGGTAACTTCAACAGGCACGTTGTCCTGCATGGCAAAAAAGTGAGTGGTAACTTAATACATTGCAGAAAAACGTAATATTGGTGAATACGTAGACTAAACCAAGAGACACCATAGCTGGGGTGGCACTGCACTCTTAGCAGTTGCTAATTTGTTCTACGAAAAAATGATAGTTTAAATGATTTTCTGTGACTAACGTAGCCAGATTCTGCAGTCTTCTGGATCAAAATAACATTGTTTTGCTATGGATTTTGCTTTAAAAGGAAAAAAATACTTGGCCTTTAAAAGGAAAAAAATACTTGGCCTTTAAAAGGAAAAAAATACTTGGCCTTTAAAAGGAAAAAAATACTTGGCCTTTAAAAGGAAAAAAAATACTTGGCCTTTAAAAGGAAAAAAATACTTGGCAGCATTTACAAAGAACAAAGAAAGAGAACCACCTGGGTTAGGGACCAAAATAGTTAAATAATTAATAGTTAAATGCAATGTCACCGTAGCCCACCTGTTAGCTTTGTTTTACTGCCAAACCTGGTTCCCTACGGCTACAAAGCAACCTGCAGTAATAAGAACAGATTGATCCTCAATTGCCAGTGGGCCAATCCTGCCACCAGTGATGCTAATGCCGGGCTGAATACTAATTGCATGGAATCAGTAGTCTTTATCGGGAAATGACGCGCTTGGCCACTTGCACTGCATAAATGCAGCTGCTAGTTTAATAATAAAAAGGAATTCCAAGCTACCACATGCTCACGCACATGTGTTAGCTTGACGCGCTCGTGAAGTTTGCAAATCTGGACACCCAATTGATCAAAGCAGGAAGTAATTCATGTTTACTGTCTGACAACGAGCGTTGTGCCACCACAGTAATGGCTTCTGACTCTGAGTGTCAAATTACTTTATAGCTGTGCTTTGTCAAGTAATTTTCAAGTACCACGCAGCTAAACTGGAGACAAGGGACACTGGATGGTGTCTGTCAGTTGGTATTTTAAGCCTTTGCGAGCGCCGCCAAACTTTTTGATTCGATTTGCCCGACTTTGTCCATGGCTGCCCACCACTTGAACATCTTCCCGTTGTTGGAATTCACACGCACAGAAACAGTACAAGTGCCCCAACTGTGACCGGGTCTTCAAGCACGAGGAGTATCTGGAACGTCACCAGCTGGTCCACGGGAGTTACGACTTCGTCTGCACCACCTGCGGGGGGAAGTTCTCCACCCAGCACTTCTTGACCAATCACATCCGCAAGGTGAGTCCGATGAAATGGTAGGTTTCATGTATGTATATACTCGTACATGTAATTTTGTTTTGTGTGTGGGCCTATAGTGTGCTTTAAATATCCTTAACCCTAACACTCCTCAGTCCTCCAACAGGTGAAGGATTTAGGAGGGTTAGGGTTAATTGGGTTTTAGTTTTAATGTGCTCGTTGATATTTCTGGATATTGTATGCTCACTGTCTTAGATATGTTTTTATTTTGAGGCGATCTTGATGAGAGGAATTAGACACTTTTAACATAATTTTTAATTGTACAGCACTATGAGCCGCCTTGCAGGCATTGTGCTTAATAAAACGATTTATTAAATACACTTACTCTCCAGTGTTGAGATGTTTCAGGTTTTTTCTGATTTGAGGATTTTTTGGTCAGGATTTTCCTGATTCCATTATTTTGCAAACAATCTTGTTCAAAATCTGGGAAATCCTGGTTTACCATTGTTGATGTTTTTCACACAGAACTCAAGCAATGGGTTTTAAGGGATTCCTTAAGGCAAACACGGGGACCCTGTGCTGCGGTGGGATCCTCCAACCTCACGGCGATTATTTTGTGGGTACTTCGTTTTCCTCCAATCGCACCCCTGACTGTCAGAAAAACATTTCAACGTCGTTTCGATAGTAACCTCAGCCGTGCAACTTTTTTTCCGATAAATTAAAAGCAACGAAAGGGCATCATGTGCTTAGTGTTGTTAATTACAATAAGTATTACAAACTCCTGACATTCACACATTTTATTTTGGGCTATATCCAACACACATGGACGTGGGCTGAGTGCTATAAATACCTAGAAGGGGACGTTGATGGAAATTCTTAAGGTTCGTTAAGGTTATCCGGGGTTTGAAGTCATTTTTCAGTTGCTTTTGTTTTGTTTTCACATGCTCTCACGAGTTTTGACAAGTATTTTACAAGTATTCACAATTGCGTTAAGTGTACTTCACAAGTATTCACAGGCTCTTCATACTCACACCAGTCTCAACAAAAGCTACAAGCCGTCACTAAGGCTGAATCTGTCCAAATATTTGAATATTCAGTTGTAACAGATTCCTGCAAAAGCTGGAATTAAGCTGCCGTTATATTGCGTTTTGAAATATGCCCTAGAATGCACTTTTGTGCCCAAATAATTCCATTTTGCCCAATTTTTTGTTGATTTTCACTGCGGAATAATCAATTTCAAAACTACATATCCAGATCTGAGTATTTGAATAATTTGCACAGCCCAATTTTTCACTCGTGGCTTAATAGCAAAAGTACTTGGGAGAGTACTTGGGATGATAAGTGGAAAAATAAGCACTTGACTACGACTCTGGATGTTGGTGGGGTTTTAGGTTATTGTAGTTAAATACTATTCATAAATACCTCTGACAGTCTCCCTGTTCAACAATGTGCAACTTGGCTGTGTAGTAACATTTGATAATGCCTGCTGAGAAGTGATAATGCCTGCTACGTAAATCACTTGCTGGCACCTAGATAACGAGACAGTTTAATTGATTTTGATTGGTCAAGAGTCCGTGTGCACGCTGCTTGCCAAGCATGCACCAAGTCCACAGGAGGAGATTCTATTGGATAAACTTGCATAAGGAATATACCATAAAATGTATGGGGGTGTTTGGGAAAGTGAAGGTAACATTCTACCTCTTCCAGATTTTCCAGGTTGGGAGGGAGTTTTTTTTTTATTTTTTTAAGGATAGAATGTCAACAAGCCTGATGAAGAAACATGCATGGTATTCATGGTCGGAAACATGTTACACGTACATGTGTTAGGAAGGTACAGAAGACCACAGAAGCTTTTAAGCCAGATAGTTCCAACCACTGGAAATTTCAGCAGATCTGCTCAATAAACCTAAAAACATTTTTTAAAAAAATCAATGACTCACACAGACACAGTGGTGACTTTTTTCAAATTTAATATTGTAGACGTTTTAGCACACTGCTTTTAATACAAAAATAATTGTTTTTCCCCTTATTTCTGTAGTTTTAGGTAAATAAAAAACAAATAAAAATCCAGGTCGGGCACATATCGCAGGTCGGGCGCGGACGCTAAACAAGTAATTTTTTTATGTGGTCTAATGACAATAACATACGGCTGGCTAGCTCAGTTGAGCACTTGTACGGTATTCCAGAGGTTCCAGGTTATTATCCTATCCTGTTCAAATCAGCCTCTTTGTTTATCTTCATAAGTACAATATAAGTACATCGTCTGTTTCCCTTTATTGTTTGTTTGACGGGCTTAAGAGAACAGAGTTTTTTTTATTATTATTGTGACATCGATCTGCTTCTATAGGTCCACGAAGCTGAGGAGGCGTGCCAGTGCGAGTACTGCGGCATGAAGTTCAAGTACCTGCAGTCCTACCGTAGCCACATGCACCGCAAGCACCCAGAGGTCAACCGCAGTAACTACCGACCAGTCACTGAGTACTCCGCCGACGTCCAGACTTTGGAGGGCATCGTGTCCTCGCTGATCACGGTGAGCGAGGACACTGGGGAGGAGGGGACAACCACAGAAGTCCAGCAGATGCAGGAGTGAGGAGAGATTAGAGTCCAGGTTAGAGCTTTTTAGCCGAATTCAGCTCTTTTTTTTGTGCACCTGCTGTGTACAAACGTATTGGGATTTATTTCGTTTCATCTTTTTGCTAGCTGTTTTCAACTTTAATTTTAAGTGGCCACTCACACCCCTGTTTCATGAAAGGTGTGCGTGATGAACGGTTTTAAGAGTTAGCCGAGGATCAGTTAACTATGCTTGCTCTTGTGACGGGTGTTCATATCCTCAGTAGGCACACACCTTTCAAACAGCAAAAAAATAGTTACTGGCATGTGATGACAAATGGACCAGTGAGATTAGGTCATGAATATGTATGAGGTTTTGACAGGTACACCCACCTGTCAAAACCTTTTCTCACATTGCATCCTTTGAACTATTTGCAATATTTGATTTGGCAGTTATTGTGATGTCATGAATTTTGAATAATTCATCAGCCTTCCACTTTATTATCTAGCAGATATTCTGTATTTTCAGTTGTATGTAGGTTGTAGAGATAAGAATGTTATTTTTAGTATATTGGAAAAATCCAAGGCGTAACCACACAATTGCTGGATAATGTTCTGTCTTTTGCTTGGCTTTGACTTGAAATTACACAAGTCTATGGTAGTGGCTGCGGCTATTCCCCATAGAGTTGTTTGTAATTTCCAGCCACAGCCAAGTAGTTGGAACAGGGCCTGACTCAGGAATTGTTTTAAGCACAGAAAGTAGTTGCTTTGAGAAATGGGTACCAGCCAAAACCAAATGCATATGATTTATACTGGCTTCCTGACTGAATTGTGCTCAGCACGTGAATCTGGTAAGCAGAAATGTTTGAAGAGCAGTTTCTCACCTCAGCAGAATAAAAAATAACCTCAAAATATGCATGCATGCATACTTTGTTTTGCTTGACAAAGAGGGCGCCCTGTGTTTGAGTCATCAGCTTTCAACGTGTTAGGCAGGTTTTGGGCTCAACAAACACCGGCAGAGAACCTGCAGGTGGACGTGGATGGACACTGGCATTTAGGCTGGTAACCCATTCTTGCTAAATAGATGTTTTCTTTGCTTTGAAATCGGCCATAGTCCTCAGAACACCCAAAAGACCACCTCCTTTCTTATTTGTCTGTGATTGTAAACTTTTACTTCATTGTTTTCCTAGAGTTAATTTCTTACCCGTGTAAATACTTTCCTAGGAGTTTGGCAGAGAATGTTTGTTCAAATACCTGTTTGTATGGGTAGCAATGAAAGAGAAACCATTTTTCTGGCAATGTGTTTTTAAGAGATTTTTTGTATGCCTTTTTTCCTTCATGGAATTGTATGAGTGAATTTTTTCACGAGAGGCAAATTGTCTGAATAAAAATGCAAATGATAAAGGAGATATGAATATACTATACACATACTATACACACACAGGAATCAAGTTTTAGTTGGTATTGATTTAGATGGAATTCTTTTACTTGTACCAATTATGACCTTTTTCCTTTCATCGAATTGTCGCTGGACTGTAAAGACTTGTATAAGTTTAAATGAGAGACTAAGTGGGACTTCTTATAAAAAAAAAGGAACCTTGGAATCTTGATAACCTTTTTTTTTCTTTATTCTAAAATCAAGCAAATGAGAATAGTTACCAAAGTCAGGAAATGGGCCAATGCGAGCAAGTTTCATTCATTCATACTGCACATTCCAGGGTCTGGTCGTTTAGCACCTTGACACCTGTGAATACGATCTTCATTCTGAATCAAAGTTATGATTTCAAGGGGAGCTGCACCACAGTTGCACTTGCGAAGAATACAATGGGACTAGAAAGATTGGCCAGTTAATCCTCAGCATGGATTTGTTATGTTTTTATTTCAATTTTGCCCATTCTGTTGAAAACCAAAACTGAATACATTAACCCTCCTATGCTGAAGTCACTCTTTGGGTCATTTGGTAAACACCTCAAAGAAGCACAGCTGTGTTGTGTTGTGCACTGCACTAACAGTCCCTCACAGGAATATCAGATTGCACTTTTGTGCTGCCCAAGAACTGTGCTTCACTGTTTCATGGGCATAATTGTGCAGTAAACCAAATGCAGTGAAGAGGACTGCACAAAAGACCCTGGGTCATTTTGTGCTGACAACCTACCTGTGTACACACTGAACCTGCGCATGTTTGAGTTCCATATATATAGAAACTACATGCTCACCAGTGACTGTGGGCATTTGTGCACATTTGTGCTGTAAAGCCATAGGAGGGTTAATATGTAGTTACAAGTACACTTGGGGCTGGTACTATACACAGCAAACCTTGTTTACAGGCCTCTCCCACAGCCTCATTTGCCTACTGTATCCATACGGTGGCCAATGTTTGCAGAAATATCACTCTTTCTTTGTGTCAGGTTTTGACTCAAAATGGGCACTGAATCACTTTCAAAATGGGCTAAATGTCCAGTTAGTAGGCCTAGTAGTAATTATTGGTGACTTTGCATCGTTGTGGCTTATTGCTGTGCTTTTTTGCACTGAGGGCTCTCGGCAGTTAACAAGCCACTGGTACCCTAAACAAAATAAAACTGACAGAGGAAGGGCTAGAGATTTGTCATAAAATCTTGTTTTTTATTCCTTTTTTTCACTTTATAATTTCCATTGTTGTTGGATAAAACAAATTACCTCAGTAACTTCCAACTAGTGGCTGGAGTAAGCATTCAAAGGCATGAATACCTTGTTACCAGCTCATCTTAATCATATATTTCTACAGTCCAAGTAAATTCATGCATGCTTGTAAATTTTGTGATGTTCACGTACTGTGCACTGTGTGCATCTCTTGGTTATTATGAAGAATTTTGGGAATGAAATTTTCTGCTTCCTATGTGTACACTTCCATTTTTGCTAATGTTATGGGAAATACTAGTACCACTTTCAGTTTTTGGGCCAGCCACTCGGTTTTCATAGGTTCGGTGACATATACTTTGGTTCAATAAAACTTGGCAGCATTCTCTGGGTACAAAGAAATATTTGCATTGGTGCGCAAGATGTTACATCCCTGCTACCCCTGCTTGCCGGGCCCATAAACATTCCCAAAAGCCATCTCAGTTCCCTGAGGGATTCTGATGGCCAGAAGCAGCCATTTTAGGTTCTGACGGCGAGTCAAACACAAGAAGCATCTCCACTCTCACATTTAGTCCTGATTGGGGAGAAGCAAATAGTGTCAAAGTTTTCTGCTCAAGGACACAAACAGCGTAGCCCCCAAAGACTGGACTCGGAACCCCAAGTGGGAAAAGAAGAAAAGTAGGAATTTAAGATGGATTTGGACTCCCAACGAAATCCCACAAACATCAGTCAACTCAACACTCGTCTTGTGACAGTTAATCACACCAAATGCCTGCTTGACGTGCATGTACCCCCCCAAAGATGTGGGACTTGATCATTTGAAATTTAATTTGTTATTAAAACAATGTCTACCGTGTTTTGTGGCTTCTCGGATTCAACATCACATGAACTACTGCTGTAACATAATGCATTTATAAATAAACAGAAGTGAAATCTTTTGCAACAGAATAAGATTAGCCCAACAGAAAGTAATCCTGTAGTGAATTTAGACCAATTTATTTACATACTGTTGGTGTATTCTGATATCCTGATACTGTACTTTATAATTTGACTATACATGTACATGTACATGTGTACAATATACAGTAATGCCCTCCGGAAAGCACAGTATAATCACAGATAATACAAAAATATACTTGAGATATGAAACAGATAAAATGATGAGTTGAGTCTAGGTTTCCTTTTTCGTGGACATTGCAGGATCAGAAAATTTCAATTCTGGAGTTTGAAAAATCTGTAGTTTTCTACACTGGAAGGACTGCATGGAGCTAAACTCGGAAAGTCTGATGTCGGGGATTTAGCTGGCTGCAGTGCCACATTTTGACCGGCCAAGATGCTACATGTATAGTGTCAAATATTGATCGGCCAAGATGCTACATGTATAGTGTCAAATAGTGACCGGCCAAGATGCTATAGTGTCAAATATTGACCGGCCAAGATGCTACAGTGCCAAATTTTGACAGGCCGAGATGCTGCAGCCCCAAACCTTTTCATTGTTTGCATGGAGGTAGACACTTGAGGAATAATAAGCTTAGTCCTCATTGGTATATACAGGCACCAATATTATGCACTTGAATCTAGGTTGAGCTTTTTAAGTCAAACACTGGAGTTGCAGACCCAAACTCAAAGAGGTGAACTGTCCCTCAAGTCTTGTCATATCCCACAGAAGACAACTCAGCAAAACTTCAGTCTTTACGTCTGAGTTATAAAGTTCAACAATATATATATGACCTTTCCAAAAACAGGGCTGACATTGTTAGAAAAAACCTTAATTTATGGACTATTTTATGTTTCACATCAGGACACAAAAGTTGTTTCTCCCTTTGCGTACTAAAAAAAGTATTCAAACTGTTGGTGCATAAGACTGTCATTTTGGATGTGATTGACGTGCCAAAGTAGAGTAATTACTACAACTAATGGAAGACCTACTTTGACCTCATTTTAGGTACTGGATCACAGTTACATGTACATCGGATGTTTTACCATGGTCATTCCATCCAGTTGTCAATCTCTTCGTTTTTGTACGAGGACAAGAAGGCTGCTTACCTTTCACTTTGTAGCAGTTACCTGAGCAGGGGTGAGATATGTCAGAATTTTTCCTCATTTCAGGATTTTTTCATCCGGATTTCCTTGTTTTTCAGGATTTCTCAAACTATTGGAAAAATGCTGAGTTCACTGTTAAGGTGTTTTTGCTGACAAAAACTGATACCGAACACAAGAAATGGGTGTTGTTAGGGGTGTCTTGAGGCAAATACAGATGGTGATAATTTCGTGGATTTGTCACTTCCCAGCACTCGCACCCCTGCCTAGGTTTGCTCTCTACTCTATCAGGCCTACTCTGGCCTAGGTCCTGTTATAGCAAGACATCTAAGAAATAATATTCACTGTAACATGGGTTTTATAGATGGTTGCCTGGCAAAATCGTCATTGGCTTTTGCCTGTTCTTACTCTGTTAGGTTATGAATGTCTAAGTAACTTTGTAAATTGTCAGTAGTATTTAACTTATGCCACTACAATCCTTTAAACGGAATATGCCAACACTTTCAACAAACATACTGCAGTCCCTTACATAAGTCCAGAACTTGTACAATAAGGGACAGCAGAAATCATCTCTTAGAACCAAAATCGCTTCAACCTCAACCTGCTCCCCCCAAAGAGGAGTACGCCGGGACAAGTTTGCTACAATGCCTTCAAGATAAAATAAGAGAATGATGCTGCTACAAAACGAGGAACAAAAAGCAAAATCAATCAAAAACGTGTGAAAGAATTCTCTCTCTATTTGTATACATGTCAGGCAGTTTCTGACAATCTTTGGTTACTCCGTTGCCTCTGAGATACAGTTTTTTTCCGAATACACATACATGTAGTTCTAAATCAGAGGAGAACTTAACAAGAAAAAGTGGCACACCCTTTCGAGATGAAAGTTTAAAGGCAAATCCATCTCCAACGAGTCCTGAAAAAGCTCATTTGAACTGGCATATGTCTTAACAGATGTGCCAAAAGTAAGCTGCCAAAGCGTGCGGTCCATTCTGAAAGACATTCAGTTCATTCCAGAAGAAAGGGGCTCACGCTGTCGGTCATCATCTGCGCTTGGCTCTTTCGCAAATCAAATAGTTATTTTCATACCTGGCAACAAGCAGTGGAAAGATTGTGACACCAAAGTGATGCAACTGCAGGACGAATGAACAGTTCTGGCACCAGGTTTGCAGTAGTGATGATGCTGCTCAGCAGGCCTCCGTGGTCCATGGTGCTTAGGTTTCCCAGTTTTTCTTGCATCGTGAAACTCGATTTCCCAGAATGCTTGGATCACATCACCATCCCAGTAACCAAACAGAGTGTTCTCTCTGCCTCTCTTTGTCTCCAAGTCACAACTTCAAACTCCCATGATTTGTTAGCCACTGATTCCGTTTACTGGTGTCATTACGATCATTTCCTATGGCATCAGTTCTTTGCCTTACTTTCCCCCCTCATGACCTTTCATTTGACAGACTATAACAAAATCACACGTTAGCTTTTGATGTCTCATCAAGCTGCTGTCGCTGCACACTAGGCATAAAGGTATCCGTTGAAATCAAGTTGTACAATACAAAATCCCAGCTCAAGATGCTGACATTCACTTGCTGCCCATCCCCAGTACGGTACTATGATCCCGGCTCTTCTTCCACTGGTTCGTTTTCTCTGAATCCCGGTAGGAGCTGAAAGGGGGGCTCCAGTCCTTGCTGGCTTGTGCCCTCGGCAGCGTTTCCAATCTCTTCTTCCTCCTTTGGTGCGCATCCCTTACAGAGGGGATTGTCCAGGAAGTAAGGGTCCACCTGCTCTCGTAGCACTCGACCCTCCTCCAGAAGTGCCTCTGCTCTCTCTCTGAGCTGCCTGTTCTCTCCCTCCAGCCGCTCAATCTCCTGTGAGTCAGTCAAACAAAGATTATCGCTTTTGCATCTCTGCCTTGTCTGCTGCCCTGGAGTCTTTGTCAGTACCGCCCCCACAATTTCCTCATCTGCACCCCTGGCTCAGAGCTGCAGAGTACCCATGTGACTCCCTCCCCATCCTATCATACACCCTTCTCTCAAATGCCTTTTTGATGCATTGTATGTCATCTGCATGACATCCTCACTTATGCAGTATAATATTCACACTGGTTTGGGTTCGGTGCCTCTGGCTACATCACAATTTTGCTTATGAATATGCAAATTCGTGTAGCAGGAAAAAGTAAAAAGGTCCCCTCATACGGATAAAATTATAGCAAAACAAAAATTAAAAACAAGGTTAATTGAAAAACGAAGGTGAAATGTCAAGGATTTTAGTAAAATATTTCTGTTACATACTCTCTTGAATTCCCACTCAATGGCTAAAAACCTGCTCCCCTTTAAGTCCCTCCCCCTTACAGTTTGGTTTCGTTCGTCCTCGTCTCTCTTCCGCTTTCTGCTTCTTGCAGATGACTCGCGGTTCTTCTCTCGCTTTATTTCCTCTTTGCTCTGTGTGAGATTAAACGAGAAATACCTCTGTGCTTAACATGAGTCAAAAACACTGCTTTCTTCCAGAAACGCACATAACCACAAGAAATATGAATGAGTTATGCCGCCAGCGGGTAGCGTTTGGATAGGGAAAACAACATTATCTAAAAAGTGGTCCCAATGCCCCAAACGCTTTTCTCAGCACTTAGAAACACAGTTGTGGTTGTGTGACAAATTGTTCTCTCAAACGATGCCATGAATGTATATTAACCCTAACACTCCTCAGTCCTCCAAAAGGTGAAAGATTGAGGAGGGTTAGGGTTAAACTGTGGTAAACATGTACATACACCCGGAACGAATACCCTACACAAATCAATATATCAATATATCTCGCTTTTTTTTTAATCGCTGGCAACTGTGGCGCGGGGTTTGCTCGTCGGTCAGAATTTACAGAGTGTACATCTTTCTTAGAGATTTATTTGCACATGGATTTGGTCTATATAGTACTGAACTATGCAAATAATTTTTCCTCCCGAAAGTCGTAGCAGGGAGAGGGGGGGTCCTGCGAAAGGGGTCCTCAGGTCACAGCCCCCCACCCCCACCTCCGCATAAGCCACCGATCGTCGTACACGATTTGTCTACGAATGACCACCTGTGACACTTCACGCGTCCCTTGTTATTTTCAACCTCGCGCCCCGACCCGTCGTTTGCGGCTCCAGCTAGCTGCATGCCACCGATATTGCCTGGTTGTTGGAAAACCCCTCCACCGAGCAACGTTCGTGCGCCTCTGCCCTAGCCACGGAGGGAAAAACACCGACTTTTCGTCCATCCGGTTCCGACCATTGTTGGCGGCCACAAAACTGCAGCTTCACTGAAAAACCGGTGGTTCAGAATATAATGCGACAAGTTCATAACTGAAGCATCCTTACATAATATGGGGTATAGTGTACATCTATTTCCAACGAGATCCATTTCGAAAAGGACTTGATGATTTTTGTAAGGTATTTAAAAATCACGATGCCGCGGCTTCCATCAATTTAGTAAATTGTTCCAGCACTAAAAGAAAAACAGATTCTGGACAACAACTGTATTCGGAGAGGGGAAATATTTATAAGGGAAGGGCCTAGTACTGAATGACAGAAAAGAAGAAGTTTGTGTTAGAAGGTAGGGTGGGTGAAGAACCACGTTTTCACGGGGGCCAAATAATTCAGAATTCTGAATTTCCGGGTAACATCTCATTGCCTATTCTTGAGTTTCTTTCTTAGCAAATGATGCTAGATTTTAGTACTTTTTACACGTTTTGAGAAGGGAAGGAAAAAGTTTGTCCAAAAATCTCTGTTTCTTCATATTTCAAAACTAATGTGCCCTATTGGTTCCTTCGGATCCATCAATAGCTGATTGTGGTTTTTACACGTGAACAAAAATTCAGTGATTGAACAAGACTCTGGGTGTTCTTGTTTGTTAGTCTTATGGCCACGGTCTTTCATCCCGTATGTCTTAGGCCTGAGTGTGTCGAGTTTGATCGTCTTGATCTTCATCTTGCGTCGCATTTTAAGATCACATATTTAGTTATCACTGAAAAGCACTGGTCTTTCTTTTTTCGACGACGCCATGTTTTTGCTGGAAAATATTTGTTTGATGTGTTAATGTGTTACAGGATTACTGGTAAACATCTTGTGTAAGTCGATCGTAAGCCGCTTCCAGTGTTAGATGAAGTTGCGAGGACTGTGGCAAACTTTCGATCATTATTCATCTGACGTGAATTAGTGCATGGGCTGGCTTGCGACCTTACTTAGCTGCTACAGACTAGGTTAAAGCTAGCCAACAGATCTACTGAAAGCTTGAGTATGTACGCATGTAGCGGCCCTGTGGTGTTCATGTTTTAACTCGGAAGAAATTTACTGCAGGACTGCCTGGTTCTAAGTGAGGTGGAGCGTCAGGGTAGGTTGCTCCCCGTTGGTCTTCATGAAAAATGCAAAAGTCACACTTCTTTCGGACTGAGCGTATTGCTCGTTACTTTTGTACCTGAGAAAATGACCGACTAAAAAAATTGGAAGGCATGGATGTATATTAACCAAATTTCACCTGATGTAGGGACATGCATGAATGAGTGAGGGCGCTGTTTGTTTGGGAGGTCATTTTCTGAAATAGGAAACTGTTATTAAAATTTGTCTTTTTCTGCTGGCTCCAGCTCCTCTATTTAATGTCCATTTTGAATTTTTTTGAAATTTGTAGCTAAGCAAGCATTTAATTCATTAAAATAAGGCACAAATAAGAACAAAACGTTCACGGAAATGTGAATGTTAAGCTTTTCAGTCAAAATCCACACTCATATTTGTGTACAAAAAATCAGTTTGCTCTGCATATGCATCACACACGTAGAAAAAAAATTTCTTTGCTTTAAAGAGTCCGCTTGAATCCAAATTAATATCGAAACGTTTCTTATGACATCCTCTCCAAGATGACTTCAAAAAGAAAACAGAAAAAATAGTTGAAACATTTATGAGCCTCCTTACTGGACGCAAAATTTCACACAGGGGTTCCTTAGCCCTGAGTTGGAAAATATAGTGTGGTTTCTCGTCGTCTGTTTAATAGTGATAATGCATCGCAATGTGCTTGAATCGAAGTAGAAGTGAAAGTGTGTGCTAATGCACAAAGTCACTTGAGCTCAGAAAAAGAAACCACCACAAGTTCATTCACATAGACACAATAAACACTTGGACTGACGTTACAAACTCTTAAAGAATTACAGCGCACGCATCGCAGTTAGAGTTCGAGGCGAAGTGGTGTTTACACCGTCATCATTATAATATTACCTTCTTGTCCAGCTGCCGGGAGGTGGAGTCGGGCTCCATAGTGAGCACCATGTGATGGTAGCCCACGTTCATCAACCCATCAACGACGAGACCAGACACTATGAGCTTATCCATGGGATCACAGCGGGTTCGGACGGAGAATCACACCGGAGAACAGGCGGCGGAGACGGTATACCCAAGTGGACCAGATAGCAGAGAAACCGATGCACTCTCGGAGTGGGGATTCCCAACAACCTGAATAAATTATGAAGATACGGTGCCTGGTCAAAAACAGATGACATATTAATGCAGTCAGTTCCCGTATTGAGTCGCGCCACAGTCAAAGTCCTCTACAATGTCATGTTATATCGCTTGGAGCGTGTGTAATATATTGTCTCTGTACGGTGTGTATATTAAAAGGTAATCACCTTGTTATTGTCTGTGGAGGATCGCTCGGGCGTGGATTAATGCGAACTGTCTTCAGCGCGATCCTATTACTTCAGGCTTGAATCGCGTCTATGGGTAATTCCCCCGTTATGCGGGGATTCCCCACTTTCTAATTTTACCGCGCCTGACGCGCTCAAGCTAAATGTACATTCTCACTAAAAGTGACAGCTGTAGTACGTCCGATCGTATACATTATGCTTATTGTTTTACTTCATTGTAAATATTAACAGCGATTATTGGTTCGGGCTCGAAGAGGTTCTTTTTAGACACGCCTCCTGGGGAAAAAGCCAATGATACAGTTGGTGCATAATTGTACAGACGCGTTGAGATTTGGATGCATGCCAATATACGGGGAATCCCGATTTCCGGGGCCAGCGTGGCATGCATCCATACATGTGTAACATTATTTAACGGGTATACGGTGGTATGATCGGCATTGGCATTAAATCTGCCCAGGATCCGCTAATGTTGGATTTCTTCCAACAGTTTGGAAACCCCCTCATTAACATTATTACCATAACAGACGCCTTGGCTAGGAATTGCAACTTGCCACTGCATTTTGCTCTGTGCATTTGTAATGTGCATGACTCGGTGCTTGTTGCAAAGCTGCAATGAATACAGGAGCACATTTACGTGCATGTATAGCTATTCGCACAATGCACAATAAGCAAGGGCCAATTTCATAGAGCTGCTTAAGCACAAAATTTGCTTAAGCGCCAAAAACCTTGCTTAAAAAACAAAGGTTACCAATTCAACATCTATGTGATTGTCATGCTAACCGAAAGACATGTGAATACCATTCCAAAACAATATGTACACCACATGGAGTTTTGGCTGGTAACCTGATTTGTCAAACAAGGTTTTTTCATGCTAAAGCAAATTTTGTGGTTAGCAGCTCTATGAAATTGTGCAGAAGGTTTTATAGATTAAAAACGGACAAAGTTACTGTGACTGCATGGTAAAGAATATGCGCTTTATGTACAACGTGTGCTTTCAAAACACACACACAACAATGTTTCACATATTTAGTATGGACATTCTTTTATTAGAAAGAAAACTCGGACAAAATGCTCGATCCTTCTTCTCCCACTGCCATAATGTCGAGCTTAATTTTTGATGATGTTTCCTTGACTATTCTTCTTCATTCTGCCACCGATGACCCTGACCTCGGCATGCTCCTGAAGCTGTTTTTCAGAAACAGGAAATCCCTGTATGGACGTGAGCGAGTCCACACAACGTCTTGTAACCCAACATTGTGTGAGCTTTCGGCTGAATCTGAATCTCTTGTCTAGAGCTAGGTCTGGGTCTTCACTCCATTGGAAATGCGTGCAGACGCGTAGACGATAGACCTAGCCGTAGCTCTAGAAGTCCGTTTCGGACACGGCCTTCTTTTGTGCGGAGGTCCAGACTGTGTTTGTTACGCTTATTCACTGTAAATCCACGATGAGCCTCGAGCTGGACCAATAGACGGCGCAATTTTCTAAGCACTGAGCGGAGGCATTTTTGGTCTGGACTGAACTTCGCTTGTTCGCGAGCGACAATGAAATGCACGCCTCACGGTCGCATCGTTACCAACATAATGAACATTCCCGACCAATATGGGCTCTTTGCAACCGACGAGGAGGTGCTTCTGCCCGAGAGGAATAATTACTGGGCTAGCTGTGTTTATGTGACGATAAAGAAAATACAATCACTGCAGTCCTTGGTTTGTCCACTTAAAAGGTGAACTAGAACAGACTCTTTCAAGCAGTAACTAGTAATGAAGTCTTTGGGAGGAGGCGGAGATGCAATGGAAATCAGAGGCGGAACCAGGGTGTTATAATGGCTTGAAAGAATATTTCTAGTCGTTCACAGAAGCTTATGGTTGGAGCTGAATATTCGTTGCTAGGAAAAGAATGAGATGGATAGCAAATGTAAAGGGACTTTACAACTTTTAGTGTTGGTTGGAAGTGCAAGAAGTAAACCTAAAATAGACACCCTTCACTTTAGAAAATAGAGGGACTACTCATTTGGTTTTTTTTTAATAATCCTCAATAACTCTCTGTGTTCCGTTAATACTATTTTCAATTTTAAAGAAATTGTGCTGCCTATTTGGTTTTATTCCACTGTGTAGTCCACACTCATGAACAAAATTGTGATGTCATTTTGGGCAAACACCTCAACACTGCAGCTATTTCAGCATAAACTATAATTGCTGTAATCCCAAAACTGAACCCCGCTGGGTTGATTTATTCATCCCACGACCCGTAAATAAGAAGGGAGAAACATGAAAAGGAAAGATGAATACAATACATAAAATAAATAAAAATGTGTATATTCAACAAATCTCTCAATTTATATCTATTGTAAATTAAACCTGGAATTCTAGATAAGGACGTAAAATCATATTATTGATTTCCCACAGGTCGGGAACTTTCGGAGCGTTATTATAGGCGCGACACTAATTAGAAATTTCGGGCTGTGTAATGCCAGCAGTAAGTACTGTTTCCCAGAACATTCGACGAAGCCTCATCATGGACCTGAGACTCCGCGCCCTACTACATAAATGAGTCCAAAAGGTACTGCGCATAGATTATAAGTTTTAAACTCCAGCCAGAAATTACAATGTAAACAATCCTGTGGGTACAAAATCGATCCCCCATATTTACGGCAGGCCTGCATGGAACCATTATGCATGTACTGAACTGATATCCAAAATAACCTTCTTCGACATCAGAACCAGGCCTTGTACGGTGAGTTTGGCCAACGTTTCCTTTTAAGGAATTGTATATAAGCAATCCCCACCCAGTCGTATTTGTGGGTAAATATTGTTTTAATTTATTCAAAATGTTTCTTATTATTGTCCCTGAAGTCCAAAGAGCCTCCAAAGGAACTCTTGCCTCAATTTAAGGCAAAATACTTCTCCGTTAAAAAGACAAACAAATCATAAAGTATAAAGAGGGCATGAACAGTTATAAAGTTGACACTTTATTTTATTTTACATGTATAGATTTCTGTCAGTTTACTATATTAAACTGACAGAAATCTGCACGTGTAAAATAAACAAATAATGTTGCAGTCGAATAAATTATCGCCGGTCAACTACAAGTCGGATCAAGCTTCAATCTGATGAGTGGATGAATAAACAAAATAAAGACTGCTTTTTTCAGAGTTTGTTTGAATTTTCTTTGATTTGTTTTGAGACGAGAGCTGACTTCTGATCGACTTGCGACCCGGTAAGAACGCGCGATACTCTCGATTTCAACACCGATTGGGACATGCAAAATTATTTTGACGTCTGACCTTGCAGACATAATAAACTTGAAATTTGGTGTACTGTAATCGAATACCTAATCGTCCAGACATGCAGAGATAACGGAATTACTCCTTACCTTCAACACGAAACAGCGTGGACGTCGTACCAGTCGGCTAACCGGGGAATCCCCGTATTCATGAAGCGAAAGTCAAAACACTTCTCGGCCATCGGAGCTTTCACATAGAGAAATCTTTTCAATTTCTCAAAGCCAAAAAGCTATTCCATGATTGACGCACAGGTATTCTTCTCTTTAAGTCTAACCCTAGAATGTTCCCTCGCTCCCTGGTAAGACTGCGCTTTATGTGAAGCCTTCTTTTGATTTTATAGTGCCGACGAGTTTCCCAATGACGGTTCGAAAAGTATGAGTGAGCCTTACTCTTACGCAATCCACATGATTGAATGCCCGGGCAGACAAGCGGTTGCCTCATGACAGTCAAATCCAACCCGCGTACCTTGCTGTTCGTGAAACCCACCGTCTGTGATGCATACATGCACAAACGCGGAGGCGAATAATGTAAACAGAAAATAACATGGATCCATGGCCGACAGGATGACGCAGCATTCATCAAGCGACAATTGGTCAAACTTGGGCATGAACAGGAAGTTGACACTTTATTTTATTTTACATGTATAGATTTCTGTCAGTTTACTATATTAAACTGACAGAAATCTGCACGTGTAAAATAAACAAATAATGTTGCAGCCGAATAAATTATCACCAGTCAATTACAAGATTACAAGCGACAATTGGTCAAACTTGTTTACCTTCGGCACAAGAATTTAGTTTGTTGCCCTTGTTCAGTGTACAACCGACATTGACATGACGTGCTGCATGTTATTAAAAGTCGTTACACTTGAAGCCAAGCAACTGTTATCTTGCACGTCATTTTCGTCCATAATGCAGGACTGTGCAATGTTTTACATAAAGATCTGCATGTATGCGAAAATTTGACATTGTACGATTCCAAATGACATTTGGCAAATAAAAGAGATCATCAAACCCTGTTTTTGTGACTTTTTTTCATTTTCCAAGAGCTGTGATATAAATGACAGCACATAATACTATGGCAACGGAAATTTCTTTTCAATGTGTGAATATTCATTTAATGTGAGCGCTATTTTGTGCGCACTCATTCGCTGTTGGACTTAAACAATGTGGTGTTTCTTTCACTCATTTCCGGACAAGCGCTCATCCTTACGCCCCCTTTGTTGTCCCTTCTCTGCCAACAAAAAAAATCGGTGATCTTGGTTAAATGTCATTAAAAATGTTTTGTCTCTGAGTAACAGGACTATTTTCAGCGGTTTCGGAGACACTTTGCTTTGCGTTGTAATATGTTTTGCTAAACGACATTTCGCGGCATGGGTGTCCTGATGCTTTTTTGTTCCTTTGTTTGCTTGTTTTAAGGTTTAACAAAGATTTTGTAATTTTGTTTCTTAGCATAATGTTGTTCTTTTTCCACGTCAAGTCACAAGTCATTTTTTGCAAGTCCAAGTCAAGTCACAAGTCATTTTT